TTTTAAAGCCAAACAATTCACAGTCCCTTTTTATCGAATAGCATATAAATTAACGCTTTCTGTATGATTACTAACTATATCTACCTACAGGTCCATATCTTTTTTAGCATTTACACTATAGCAATGGAAAGTAATGCCTATACTAAATTTTGAACATATTTCCGTGATAGATAAGTTATTATTATTGGGTTTATTTTGGTGTTATCTGAGTGAATTGATCAACTATATTCCTTCGAGTACATAAAGTAAGTCCACAACCATCGTATAATTAACATCTTGAAAGTTATATTTAAAAATAAGTCTATCATAAAGAAACGGCTAACTAACAACTGTCAGGTTTTTAAGTAGACTAACTTGAATCCTTTTCTGTTCATTTTAGGTAATGTCATATTTTCAATTTAAAATTCTTAGTACATACTCGTAAATCTAACTGACCATTTCTTCATACATTTAAGTTTTGTTTTTTTAAATTATCTACTGAATAACTTATATAATTTTATATTGAGTAAATGAAATTTGGTTGGTAGTGGAATCCAGGAGGCGCTTTTCATCCTATTTGGTGAATCACAAAAAAGGACGAAACATGGGTCCTGGATTCTATTATGAGCCTATTCCATATATTCTATATAAACCTGTATCTTTGTGGCTATCAGTACATAATGCACATAAGCCGACCAAGACTAATCGAATTTCAGTCAACTTATCAATAACAGGTTAACCCAAACAATTGCAAATGCAATAACTTATATTATCCTTTGTCAAAGTTTTCATAATAATCCATTATTAACCCTACTGATTTTCTTGAATTCACAGGATAATTAGACATTTGACTGTAACTTTTTGACTTGTTTCTTAAACTTCTCTTTTTTCATTTTTGTCACATTAAATCAGCTACTTCTTTTTATCTTAGCTATATCATGCGTAGTAAGGCCCAGTTGTTAAGGGATTTTGAAATGTTATGGTTAGTGGCAACTGAAGGAAACCCAAAAACAATTAAAATGAATTTGTCTCTTTCTATAAATAAAATCTTTGTTCTGATTGCTTTTAAGTTGGACATTCGAACTGTCAATTTCTATTCTGAGTTCAATCGTTTTGGTTCAATCACCAATAAAACTTCTATTGATATTCTCACTGGTATGATGCAATCTAGTCCCTGATTTAAATCTTACCGTTGAACTCCACTCGCTTTCAATGTCTTTTATGTTGTTAATAATCAAGTCAACAAGTTCAATATTGTCTCGTCGTAAGTGGTCAGTCACAAGCTAGAATTAAAGTCAAGTGTTTAATGTTTATTGATTTACAGTAGTTCTTTAACATTTAATATTTTATTATAAATATTAACCTTAAATGATAGTTATCAGTGTTACAATAAATAATCAACTGTTATTACTTTCATAACTATAATCTAATCATATTGTCGATCTGATAAAAAGTTTTTATTATCTTTGGAACTTCACATATTCCCATTCATCAAAACACCAAATTGAATAATTCTGCATCAACCATCATATTTCAATTTTTATTATCATAAGTAATAACAGGAGTTATTACGTAATAATGTTAAGTAGGTTAAACATGAACAATTCAAAACGACAAATTGATTACCCTCATTAAATCGATTTATCCAGAAAAAAAAGTACAATATTAGTTTCTTGTTATGTTACGCGGTTAGAATATAAGTTTATGAAATGGATTTACTACTTTAAGCAACCCCTCCTCCCCCCACATCTAATTTTGAAAGCAGAACCAAATAAAATTATATTAACTAAAGTCATTTAAAGGTTTAGTCATGCTTCACTTTCTAAACAGTATTTTCTGTCAACTATATTAACAGACTCATTTTACCATACCAAGCAAATATTTTCATTATTATAAGAGGTTTGTGGAGACTTGAATTTTATAGTTTACATCACGAACCGAATTCAGGTAGGTAGCTAATATATGCTCGCTAACAGACTGTTTCCAGAAGTCATTCCTGGAATTCCAGTGCTAAGCCATACCAAGTGAAGTTCAACCAAGTCGTATGTGAACCCGACTTGATTGAACTGAGGTATTTAAACAATAATGGCGCTGAAAGTTGGTTGCGAATTATAGCGAACCGGTTAGAGTTTAAAAAAGTAAATTACTTTGTGTCAACATACGAGTCCGAACGTTTATGGGTTGGATACTAGATGTGGTCATACGAGTTCATCGCTAAAAACTCCCATACTATGGCGACAATTGTCCAAAGCTTTCTGGTTTTCAATGGCTGTCTAATTAATTAAGGTTAGTTCGTGATGCAAACGTTAAAAAAAATAAGCATTTTCACTAAGAAATAATTAGACTAAACGAACTATTTTTTATAATAAGGTATTCATTTTAGCTGTACAACAATCTATGTTTTTTATAGTCAATAACCACACAGTGATGCCACCAGGTGGTGATGAATTAGTTAGTTAGCATTAGGGAAATAATGATATCAAAATTCTGTTTACTCATTGTCATTAAAATAATAATTTCTCTTATTCACCAATTTCACTCTGTTTTGGATAGCGAATTCAAAAATTGTTAAAGTAATCTGCCTGTTTTTTTTTATAAATGATACCTTCGTTATCATGGTATGTTCTCCACACAAATTAACATCAAGTCAGTGTTGCGAATCCTGTTGTTAATAAAATTTTATACATTACGTAACTTGTTGCTGTTATTATTCGACTAAATAGTGTAGCAATTCAAATAATTGTAATCAGTTTCAGGTATCCGTGAGTAATATTGTTTGTTGATGGATATTTTCTGGAAAAGTAAAATGTCATTTGATACACTAGCCCATAGATTTGTTCTCCATTTGTTCTACTTCCTGGTACGTACTGTGTACTTCAAGTCACTCTTTGATTTCTCTGGAACTCAAACAGACTAGTGAAATCATTTTTCGAGTTTTTTTCATGGAAAATAACAGGCGGTTAATAAGAAAAAAAGGGTTTTTTCAATAGATTAGTAATTACACATGTGAATTAACTTTCCTCAACAGTCTTTTATTTTGGAAAGCTGCACATTCCGAGATCTATGACATTAATTTCTATTATGTTTTCTACGACAAGTGAAGAAAGTTGACAATGACCACATTGATTTAAATATTTGTTTCTTATAAGGAAAAGGTTATACCCTAATTACCTCCCTGATGACTTCTTATGTGAAGATGGTAAAATTTAAGAAGCAGTTTTAAATTTGTCCGGAATTACGATATACTGATTACTGAAAGAATAAAGTTGTAGCACATTTATTACAGTCGATTCCAACCTACATTTTACAAATATCCACAAAATAATAAACGCTAATTGAAAAGTTTAGAAATTATTTATGACCTATAAAATCAACATTCGCACTAAGCACGCAACCTAGTAGCTATTCACTTATCTAGCTTTGTATTAACAAGGTTTATGTTAGATATAGCTTATTCAAAACTACAGGTTTTGATTGATAAATTTTATGACTGAACGCTTAAATCGGTTTCTTAAGCTCTTCTAATAACCCCAGGCTGACTCTACACAACTTGGACTTGAGAGAAAAGGCGCGTAGTATGGAAAGAATGCTTTTCTCCAAGCTTAATTTATATACAGAAAATCGAAGGTATTTGTAGCATTTCAGACGACCTTGGGGTTACGGAAAGTTCTGAAACCCTACTGAACATAGTAGCCGGACAGGCAATCACCCAATCAGAAATAAGACACGTGATTTTTCATTTTCTAGATGTTTCTAAGAAACTTTTATTTAGTGCTAATTGTATGAAATGTTTTCCAGAGTTTTCAGGGCCCATTTGAGCTTTTTTCGAGAAATTTTTTGGGTCTCTCCAGCAATGATCTCATATGCAAAAGTTTAAGAATAACTCAACTGTTCGAAAAATAAAAATTTTACAATATACAAACAGTTTTTAATTTATTTATTCAGATTGCAATATCGCAAATAGAGTAAATCATCCTTCTACGAACAAATAAATTCAAGTCTAGATGGATATTTCTAACATACCAGTAGTGAGACCTGTTTCAACAGATGAAAATTATGACAACTTTTTTTCAATGAATAATTTACTTTACCTGTCAACTGAGAAAGAATCGACTTAACCTATCTTCAAATACTAATCATTCAAATATTAATTATCAGAAGGGGGTTTTGTGGAGATTTTAGTAATTTTATATTTGAAATCATGAGTCAATTGAATCTAGACCATCATGAAAAACGTGGAAGCACTGGACAGCTGTTTTGTCCTATTGTGGAACTCGTCAGCAGTGTGCATCCACGACCTCACCTCGCGAGACTCGAACCTATGATCCATCAGTCTAGACATCGGTATTAAAATTATTATAAACTCACAATTTGAAAATAATTACATTGTTTTGGTTAACCTCAATTACGAAATATTATGAAAATTATTTCATATCATAACTCTAGACTAAGCAAACTGGTTTACTTTGCTTATATTCCGATTAGTCAATGGAAACTTTATCAAGTAAGATAAAATGATATCTTAATTCACTTAGTATTCTTTGTTTGAATCTTCCCATTGATGTTTAGGACTGCTACTGGTCAGTCTCTAATTGGCATATGTTCAAACTGTACGTATTGCCTCGATATAGCCTTAATTCACAAGCATTTTAAGCAAAAATGAATAGAGGCTAACAGTGGAATCCAGGCTGCGCGTTTCGTTCTATTTGGGACTCGTTAGCTGGATGTACCTGCATCTCAGAGTTGATGTTCACTCTGGGACTCCAACCCAGTACCTTTCATTTCAAACGTCATCGCGTTATCCACTCAGCTACTGAGTCCTGATAGCCACTTGCTTGTGCAATGGGGTGAAGTTTAAATTCACTTAGTATTTTTTTGTTGGTTGGGTCCGAGTCCCAGAGTGAACATCAACTCTGAGATGCAGGTACATCCTACTGACGAGTCCCAAATAGGACGAAACGCGCGTCCTGGATTCCACTGCTAGCCACTATCCATATTTGCTTAAAACGATATCTGTTATTATTTGATAACATGATATAAGTAAATGTTACATCATAATAACAGTTTGGTTCATTATTAATAATCACAAATTATTATTAGTATAAAGAAATAACTTGGTGATAAAATTAGAAGAAACAATTGCAAATAATGAAAACAATTATCCATGTTAATATTGGTCTTTTTTAATTGGAGAAACGAAATGAAATAGTTGTTTAAATTAATCATTATATGATTGAAATATACTGTTTACCAGTATTGATTATAATGTATTATTTGTGATGAATTCAATTTCATCATTAGTAACATCACTAATAGCTGTCAAATTCGATGTTACTTTATAACCTTTCTCATAATTATCAGTAGTATAATAAGTAGTAATATTCATCACTCAATATGAATCATAATAATGACCATTCAAATGATGATAATAATACGAACAAGATTTTAGATCAAAATCTAAATTTAAAATTGGTTCCTCTGAATCAACTGAAATATTAATTGAATTGTTAGTTTCTAAAGGATTAATAAAGTTTATTTCCTCATTACCATGTAATTGTAATTTTGTCTTACTCATCCAATTTTCATGGTTAATTGATTCATTTGGCTGACTGCTACTAATGTTTTCATCATCATAATTAGTTGGAAAATAAGGAAATGTTAAGTCGCATTCATTCATTTCATATTGTTCACATTCATATACATTTTCAAACTCATACAATTTATTATTTAATAAATAATTTTGAGATTTTAATAATTCTGTACAATTCGATGAACAATTTCCCATAGACTGATTGAAATTTGAAATTGATGTAGACTGATTAGTTGGTATGGTCAATGAAACATTATTTGACTGATAATCTAAATGGTTTACTATCCGTTCATCGCTCAATTTATTTCGTAATAAACTTGACCTTATAACGTTTTGTTGGATTTTTTCTGTATAACTAACATCATCATCAGTTGGTGATGATGAAGCGGATGATGATTTGTAAGAATTGTCACATAATAACTTATTCTCATTGCTACCGGATACTTGATGCTTCATTAACCTAGAAGGATCACTTTGCAAAGCAGCTGCAATCTGATTGGTTGTTATCTGTGATAAACCATGACATAAATATTTTATAATATCTGTTATCGATTCAAAGTGTATATCATTCAGTATCGAAGCCAACAAACCAATATAATTACAAGCTAAACGAAGCGTTTCAATTTTACTTAATTTTTGACCGAATTGATGAAAATTATTAACGTTATTATTTCTGCTTATTGGGCTGTTGGTTCGATGATTTTTCGAGAATAATTTATTACTTTCATTTTGTTTTTGGTTAGTATGAGTAGTACAAATAGTTGTGTCATCTTTTTTATCAAGATCAAAGGAAATATATCCACCGATTAAGGCAGATGGTATGTGTTGTCTTAAGGCATCTAATGCTGAATTTAATCCATGCATTCGGCTACGTTCACGTGCATTAGCTCGAGCTCGTCTCATTTTCATTCTGACAACACGTTCTTGTGAGTCTGGTTTCTTTTTGGGACCACGACGTCTTATACCAGTTGGGACAACTAATGAGGGTTCAATAAAACATTGAGAATTAACATTGTCGGATGAAGCGCACTTCTGATGTTTTTTCGTTACATAAGTACGTTGAACATTCTTAGTTGAAGTAAATGAATGATCCTGTAGCTTCAATTCTTCATGCATAAAGTTTTCTGAATTTGAATAAAATGAATCTGTATGAATTCCATGGTTATTTTGAAAAATAGTCATTGGGTTTAAGTTATCATTTGTAACATTGAGTAAGGAATCTTTTGAATGTTCACTAAACACAACTGTTTGGTCAAAACTAGACCAGTTATGCGAATTCATCCCCTTGTTTTACTGTAGTGATCTTGAAAAGAATAAAATATAAGAACTGTCTGTAATATTTAAAATAACTGCTTAAGGTGAATAAGAATAATACATATAATTTTATTAGGTCATAATAAATTGCATGTAGTGTACCCGCTCTATGTGAAATCTAAAGTTGCTGGGTTCAGTTTAGTAGGACCATGTTCTCTGATTCTCAATGGTCTCCCATTTCAAGTTCATTTAGGGTATAAATTGTAACTTTTCTCATTATATTGACATTGTTGCCCAGGACAGAGTTTCATAGAGAATTCTGGTGGGCGGCCTGTGTCCCTTCAAGAGGCGCAACAGGTTTAAGTAAGCAAGTAATTTGGCCTTGTACTAATTCAAGTTGTATGAAGCTTAATTTATATCATTCTGATTCACTTCGTATACTTACATTTTCAAAAGTAAGCTGTTAGAAAATAATGCTTAAATCTGTATAAAGTGAAATACACAAGAAGACTCATTACATTACTATTTAAAGTATACACGTTACGATAAAATAATCAAAGAACCAATAAGATTTGATCGTTTTTGTTAGTGGAACTCAACTGTGAAATTCGTCAGCAACTACATACGACAAGTTCATTATGAAACATAAATTAAATTTCACCAACAACAAAACAACATTATATAACAAAAAGGGTAGTTTGATCCTAAGTCATTGTGATCATCATTTAACTGTAGAGTGTTTTACTTTATCTTTATATACTTCAATGTTGTTATTTGTCTATGAACATGTTTCTTTGTTCCTGAAAAGAATCTTTAGAAGTTCTAATGTAAAAAGCAGTTTAATATCGATAATATTTAGATCATATAAAATTAATAAATACAATATGGGTTTAATTTTAAAACTGATAATCGGCTACAAAGTTAATGATCCCATCAATAGAGATTATAATTAAAATAAATGTTTAGATAGTGACTAGAAGACAATAAACGAAAGAAACAAAGTAAATTTTATATAGTTGAGATCATGAGTCAACTGAAGCTAGACCATCATGGAAAATCTGGAAGCACCAGACGGCCGTTTCGTCCGATTGTGGGAAGCAGTAACCAGTGGAGTTCAAACCACGTCTGTTGTGAGATAGGAACTCACTGAAGACAATTGGTGAATGGTTGCTCAACTTCGTGGATTGGTTGAAGTTAGACACTAACACTGTTGTATGCCGAATCAATAGTCTATCGGTTAAGTGCTCTGGCGCGAGACTGGTAGGTTCTGGATCGGAATCTCGCGAGGCGAGATCGTGGCTGAGCACTGCTGATGAGTCCCACAGTAGGACGAAACGGCCGTCCAGTACTTCCAGGTTTTCCATGGTGGTCTAGCTTCAATTGACTCATGATCTCAACTATATAAAATTACTAAAATCTCCACAAAACCCTCTTATGAAAATTACGTTTCATCAGCTTTAATTCAATTGTGAAAATGTTCTAACGATGATATCTTCTAAGTTTATTTCAATAAAATATTTATAATAAGGATTGTGACTCCATCATTAAAAATTACATGCAGTTGAAAAAGATAATGTCATTGAAATTTATCTCTTTAACTTCAAAAATTTCTCCAACATTTTGAAGATCTTACAAAAGTTACTATGCTCAATAAAAATCATTTTAGAAGTTCCAGAAAACTTTCATTTTTCTTCATTCTGTTTAACTTCTTGATCAGTTAAATTAAAAATATATAATTTTTTGATTTGGTGAAATGGTTAAATTATGGTCAAGAGACATTTCTCTGTATAGCAATAAACAGTAAAATAATATTTAAGAAAAGTAAATATCCAAATGATATCAAATCTACAACAATTAGGGATTAGATCATCCTAACTAAACGGTAATTTTAACAGTATGGAACTCCCCAATAGTGTTCATCCACAATCCCACACGCGGAACTAGGACCCATGACCTTCGTTCTCGTACGCGAACGCCTAACCTCTAGACAATTGATCCGATTTTTAACAGTGTTAATGTCAAACATCAATCGATCCATTATCTTGCGCAATTCTTTATCCATTGACTCATGAATTCAACTGTTAAAATTATTACTACTATCCATAATTCTTCCAGTTCCCATACTTCTCAATACGACGTATAAAAATAGATAACAAAAGTAAACGGGTACTAATATGAAAATTAGAAAATATGCATATAGGTTGTGAATAATTATGAAACAAAGTAGACAAAAGTCCAAGATTTATAGCTCAACGCATATGAACCAATAGTTATTGATAACCTAACTTGGTGTCATTTCTTTATTAATTCAATACTGATCATTTATTCATTTAATTCTTCTTAAGTTAACATGAAATTTCATGTAACAGTTGAATATGTCTGACTTCATCAATTGCCTCCCCCCACTATAGACAACAAATAAGTCCAAACATAGTTTTCTCTCAAGACATCCTAGTTGCAAACTATTAAATTATACCAGTGTTATGTAATAGGCAAGTGGAATTTAAGGATATTATGTAAACCAGCTAGCAGGTTACAAGTGAAAAGTTTTTCTTACTGCATGATGGTTATTTACTAAATATTACAATCAGTTGATTCAATAAAAACAATGTTATCACCGAATCGTATAACATTAAAAAATTATCATGATTCTTTACCATTGAAGTCATTCACAGTTAAATAAACTTCATAATTGTTTTCTAAATATTTAGATTACTTAATAATAGGCATATTGTTGATTTTTAACATTAAAATTTCCCAATCATACTAAACAAAGTAATACTATGGTGCGAGTTACTCATATCCACATAAGTAGTATATGATGATAATCAGGCATAGGATGTATTTCAGCAGAAGATCTCCTTGTTCTCTGCAACACCATTTTGATTTATTTCGATAATGTAATGAACAGACGAAGATTACATAGTTTTGATAATCTTCGTCTTCTCATTACATTATCGAAATTTATCAAAGGGACTAATTGCTTTAAATTTTGATTTATGTTATAAAATAAGTTTATTACACTTCAAATACAAAAGACACTTGAAACCGTAAAGAATTTTCAGTATAACAGTTACATAAATGATACTTTTAATTACCTAACGTGAAACTTCACCCTAAAATTGTACAGCTTTCCACTCTTTAAGTCTATAAAAAAGAAATAATTAGCTGAACTTCAAAATAACGATTAAAACAATAATAATCTTTACAACAATACAATAATTCATGGAAGAAGTGTTGTAAAAGTAATATTCTTACTACTTAAAATACCAAGTGAATGTTATTTCTATGTTAATAGTTGAAATCATAAGTCATTTGAAGCTAGACCACCATGGAAAACCTGGAAGCACTTGACGGCCGTTTCGTCCTACTGTAGGACCCCTCAGCAGTGCGCACCCACGATCCCACCTCGCGAGATTAAAATCTAGGACCTACCAGTCTCGCGCCAGAGTACTTAACTGATAAACCATTGAGCCGGCATCCAACAGTGTTAATGTCTGACTTCTATGTTGGTAACTAAGAGAAATATTAATAAATTATTAAGTAAACAAGTTACTAATTTAAAATAAGTATTAACGAGTTTATGACGTAAAACACTTTTCCGAAATGTTTGTTATTATAAAACTAATAGCATTCATAATTTTTTTCATACATAGGTCAACTGATAAGTGTTTGATACCGACGATGTTTACAATAGTTTTGGTAGACTTTTTGTATATTAAATATTAGTAAGGCAGAAAAATTTGTTGGAATCAATTGCACATATCATATTCAATTAGTGCTTAATGATAACATTTTGAAACTCTTTGAATACTGTCATATCAGTTACTTGTAAATATCTTAATCCTACAGGAGTTCAGTTACTAACCAACTAGCCGAGTAATGAAGTTTCGGATTGATGAACTGAGTGTCGCGGATCCGTGTTAACTGGAAAAATCAATGTCCTTCAAGATTGTAGGTAAGGTTTGTTGACAAATATGCACGAGTAAGAAACTTAGTTCTAAGGTTTGTTTCGGAATATCATCAACGATCCAACACATTCGCATGCGTATTTTCGAGAATACGTATTCTAAGGCTACAGAGTAAAACTTTTCCTTATTGACTCACTGATACATAAACTTTTATAAGTTAATGTAAACTTATGAACACAGCTGAAAGTTGTGCGACTGACATATATATTTGAAATAATTTAGTTAAGTGAATAGCTTATAAAGATTGATGGAGTTTCAAAACAACCATTTCGAAGTACTTCTAAGACAACTTATAAAATCTTATTGAAATTTTATTTTATTTTTAACTCAGCTAGACGAAAATGAATTATTTTAATATATAAGTCCTTAGTTTATACACCGTGACCAGTGGAATCTAATCCTTGTCGAGTGTAAGACAGTTATCCACTTCAGACAATGGATGAAGGGTTGCACAAGATCATGGATAGATTGAAGTTAGACACCAACACTGCTAGATATCAGCTCAGTTGTCTAGAGGTCAGGCGTTCGCGTACGAGATCGAAGGTCATGGGTTCTAGTTCCACGTGTGGAACCGTGGATAAACACTTCTGAGTATTCCCATACTAAGACGAAATGGCTGTCCAGTACTTTCAGGTTTTCAATAGTGGTCTAGCTTAGGTCGACTAATGAATTACTACAATCTCCACAAACCCCATTCTGATTACAAAAAAATGAGAAATGACTAATGAATTCACCAATATTCATTCATTCATGTTTATCAACTAATAATCGTTGTTTATTTTCCATATAAACAAATCTTCTAATCATGGATAAATTTACTGATTCATCATTTTGTTTTCAAGTATATATTCAGTTAGATTCAGTGCATCATTAAGATAATGGTGTTTTTCGTAAATATTTCTCACTCAGTAGCCTTTCATCAATCCAGTTGACTGATCAGATAATTCATTCATTCATTTTAAATTATGAGATATGTAATGACTTATAAAAATTAAATATAATATCATTTGTTCACAAAGTATTAGTACTTTGTAGGCATCGTATAGTAGAGCAATTCATTCAAAAGTAAGGTAACTCATCATCATAGTGTAAGTTAATAACCACAAATCATTGAAAGCTGATTCATAGAATAGCCCTGCCAAAAGATAATAAGACTAGAGATTAAACTTCATATATGATTGTTGAATACTTCTGAATTAAAACAAAACAGTGATTCAATTCAGTAAAGGACATTTCTCACAAAAAGGATACTTATATCATGGAATACACGTGGATTTTCTATAGAATTCATGTCAATAAATAGAAAAGGTCCATTCTATAATCATCAATTAAAAAATTTTTCTACAAAATACTGTTTTATTTCTATTATGAAACGAATTAATATAACACAGTATTTAACTTGAGATAATCAGTACTTGGAAGAAGCATTCGAAGGTAACTGTTTTTGTTTGTTTAATGTATTTACGACCAGGTGATTCACTTTAGTTAACCTCTTTAGTCAACTATTTGATAATTTTAAGACAACTTATTTTTGGAGTTGTATATTAAATCTTTTAAAGCATTGCGTTTTTTAGCGATTTAGTTTTTCTACGGAACGTGGTCGCTAACCCTATGCCCAACCCTCCTTTTTTTACCCGGGCTTGGGACCTGCAGTAACTTTAGAAAAACTACAAGCGGAGTTTTTAAAGCATTGGCTAACTTTTTAAATAATAATGAAGATTTGTAATCCATGCGTATACTTTCATTGACCTTTTGTTTATTGAACTAAGTGAACTAAATGGAAAAAATTCCATTATGTTCCTCATGGAAGAGATTATCAAATCCTAGTTCCCCATAAATTTGGTACTGATGGTATCCAGAAAGTTAGCTGACACTTTTAACTATTTTTAATTGATACTGAAATATACTGCATCTTAGTGAAAAGAATCCAATGACGGAGTTACCTTAATGAGGTAATATGGTCTTTTTAATAGAATAAGATATTTTTATAATTATTTAAGATAATATAAACTGAATAATAACAGAAATATTATTTTTAATCATTGATCATTATAGCATACAGTAAAAGTGCCTTTCTATATCTACTTATTTTCAATGATGAGGCTATATCAATCAGTCAGTCAGCTACAACGTAGGACCAGGCACATTTATGCATCGGTCCAAGTTGCCATACCTCGTTAGCACAACAAGATGAACACCGGATTCATAGAAATGGTTAATTTAGTGGTGGCAATATATCAAAGATAGGTTGTATATAAGGATATAGTATAGGAAGAAAGAAAGTTATGAAGCAATTTTAATCTTAAGGTTTAAGGAAAGATAAAGAGTGTATACACCTACGCCTTTATATAGATGAGGCTATATAAAGAAATTTCATCAATATATAGTATAAAGAATTAGAAGTATAACGTACTTTCTGTTAAATTTTAACTTTTAATTTTAATGATAGATATAGGGAACTTAATTACTGAATTATAGCCAGATCACGATTTCATTTCAGTAGTTAAATACTCTGAGAAACATGTGATTTAAATATGATCATTGAGTAATTGATATCGGTGTCTCTGGATGATATCAAGCTTTTCTGTACAAATCATTTTGATATCCATGAAATCATCGTAAACTGAAATCAACTGAAGAACAATTAAAAACCAGACAGAATTAATCAGCTGTTTCTTCCTAATTTCTGGCTTAATAGAGGTGTATATCTATGATGGGAAGAAAGATTAAGCTTATAATCTTTAAGTCCTGCAGTCATGTTAGTTATCTTTAGAGGTGAAATTGGAGTGTTCGAATTTTAAACTTTGATGAATTCATGATATTCACTAAGAGTCACTTCACTCTCAACATGTTTGTACTTCAAAATAAACAAACTTTTACGAGCATTTCGGAAGCTGATTTTTAATTAATTAAGTCGTGGGAAAATGGTTAATGATTGATCGAATTCTCTTAGTACTAAGGGTGTACACTAAGAAGTGCCTAGATTTAGGGATAACTGATAGTTTGGACGGTATAATTTAATTAAACTTCTTAGTGAACATTAACTCACCGATTTACAGGTTTGACTGACACAATTGAATATTATAATCTGCTCATATAGAGAATCTGAACCTCAAATACAAGTACACAACAATTTTTTTACAGAAAAAGAAATTCAATGTGCTTTTGTTTATGTATTGTTATTTATATAAGGACAACTCACGGCGATTTGTTCAGACTTCTGGACACCATTTTCCTAAAACCGAATTTCCTGCCTTAAATTATCCTGTTTTTTAATCATTATTTTTGTGAACTAATTATGTTTGTTAATCATGTGCACTTACGTGATTGCATAAAATGTTTACGACTTATGAAGAATCTAATTACTGAGAAACGCCACCACCTTGGTTCCCATAATATTCACCTTCTATTTCCTTATAATAAAAGAGATGCATTTACAACCGAAACCGAACATCACTCATGATATATCATAGAAGCGAAACTGACTGAAAAGGTTTGTGAATGATTATAAATGGTAACTAATCACCATTTAAAACTGTTATATATATTTCCTTAAGATAAAATGCTTATAAAGAGGGAGTTTCGTGCTCACTTTCCGTATCATATGCTGAGAATTTTCTACTACAATTAAACAAATGATATTAACTAAGCAAATACTATTATTCACTTAGTATCACTTGTTTGAATCTTCCCATTGATGTTTAGGACTGCAACTGGTCAGTTTCTTATTGGCATATATGCATACTGTGCGTATTGCCTCGATATAGCCTCGATACATATAAGGTACTGGGTTCGAGTCCCAGAGTAAACATCAACTCTGAGATGCAGGTACATCGGGCTGACGAATCCTAAATAGGACGAAACGCGCGTCTTGGATTCCACTGCTAGCCACTATCCATCTTTGCTTAAAATACTATTATGTTATCTGTGACGTTTTTTGATTATCTTATGGTTAAATACAAAACAAACGAAGTCTGTTAATAATTATAAAGTGGTGGTTTATGAGATTCAAATAAGTATTTCATTTGAGCTACATTAGTGTAACTGATAAATTCGCAAAAAACAACAATCTAAACGGAATCACCTCCATACATGTGACGTTTTTGTACATCCTCACGTCATTATTAGTCCAAATGGAACAAAACTCATCTTCGTCAAAATGAATTTAACGATAATCTATGATTATTAGACTTGTATATACTTTGAAAATAGGTCAACAAAATTTAAATGCTAATACACAATCACATGCAAAATGTTTTCTTCAGAACAGTAGAGTGACTTAAACAATAATATTAGGAGGAATCATTGAGTTGGACCATTAAAACTTTGTATCAAGCAATATAATTATCACAAAAAGAAAGAAAGAAATGAATTTAGTCTAGTGGTGGCTTGTACAATGAGTATTAAAACAGTTAGTTCACAGTTATTTCTTACTTATCAACAATGTACACCTACAATTTCACATATGATCCAATTTAGAACCTTCGAGCCTTGTAGTGAACACTACTCCTTTAGAACAGTGGTTTCTACACCAATAATCCATATTTCTGGCATATATATACATGCAAGGAATATTTTAAAAAAAATAAGTTCTACTCAGGTTCCACAACTATGAGTGTATTCATGAGCTTTATCGCCCTAGCCAAGGTCATGAACAATAAGATAATATCCATCTTCATTATAGGATGACTTAATTTCACTAACGTAAATACAGCGTTCACATTTGAATTTACGTAGCATAAATGAATATCATTCAAATATTATTGTCCTTAGTATTATTAAGCACACACGTTAGTATTATAATTATTCTGATGGAGTTTTGTTCTCTGAGCTGGATGGTTTAGTCGTGGGGCTTTCATCGTTGTTCTACCCGAAGTATGTGCTGATAATGTCATTCAGAAGGACGATATAAGCTCTACTACCTAACCAGCTCAGAGAACAAAACTCCATCAAAATCATCCATCTGGGTTACAAATCTCCATCATTGTAATCATTCATAATTTCATAAACACATGAACTATTTAATTAGCACTTCATTCATATTATTGTTTCTTACTGAATCCATAATCATTACGTAATCTTTGGTCAGACATTTGATCTGATTTGTAATTATAATATTGTTATTTCCCTCACCCTATTCTGATTATTCATTTCACAATTTCAATAGACTTATAAACTGTATGCATTCCAAATATAAACAACCTAATTTTACTAACGGTTCTAAATTCATCTGCTGTAATTTCAAAAAGTTGTATCTCCCTTAAATTTGGCTATCCCCTTGAAACATTTAGATATATAACTGAAAAACTTGGTGTAAATTTATTGAAAAGAATATTCTCCCTTGATATATCAGTGGATTAGTATTATTCTTTGTGAAACCATACAAACATTGATTTGATTATAAATATTTCTTCGTTCCTGGACTTGTGAAAGAAGATTGTATATGATTTTATAATGTACTGATCTTTGGTATCAACGGACTTTTATCTTCCTCTTCCTCTTCTTCTTCGTGTTCACTAATATTTTTAGATCTGTCAAATTCATTAGAAGATTTTGTTCTTCCTTTTTTGTCACTCTATTCAATATTTTAATGATAATTTTTTCACAGTAAACATTCCTAATATGTAAGAACTTTCGTCTAAAATAGAACGAATAGTTTCAAAGTATTTGGGCGCCGAGTTGATTTAAGACATTAAACAGGAATAATATATTTGTAAAATCTCAGAGAATGAATTTGAAGTAAATCTAACGTTTCGCCTAGCAATCTGGTCCAAGCTTTTTCAAGGAAAAGCTGAGATTTTACAAATATATTATTATTATTATCAGAAGGGGTTTTTGTGGAGATTTAGTATTTTCATAGTTGAAAGCTTGAATCAATTGAAGCTAGACCACCAGAGGAAACCTGGAAGTACTGGACGGCCGTTTCATATTATTATGAGACTCCTCAGCAGTGCGCATCCACGACCTAGCCTCGCGAGATTCGAACCCAGGACCTACCAGTCTCACGCCAGAGCCCTTAACCGATAAACCACTGAGGAGTTCCACAATAGAACGAAACGGCCATCCAGTGCTTCCAGGTTTTCCCTGGTGGTCTAGTTTCAATTAACTCACGCTTTCAACTATGAAAATATATTATTCCTATTCGTAATATGATTAATAATTCCATGTTTATGCGCTTACCTAATAATAATATCAATCAGGTAACTTGGTAACAAAACAATATAAACATTATGGTATATATATATTGAATATAATAAAATGTATCAATCATATTGTAATCCACTTTTAAATCTAATTCAAGTTTGTATTATCCTTTATTTAATATAATCAAATGGAAATATTCCCAGTCATCATTATTTAGCGTATCTTATTATTAATTGGTTAAAACAAGACATAGTAACATGTTTATGATTGGTCTAATGAATATGGGGTGAGAAATTAGTTTATCCATAATAATAATATTAATATTCTTAATGGAACTAAATTTTGTATAATGTAATATCCCTTTGATGAATAAATACACGTAACGTTTTATCTTCTTATTGGATAATTTATATAACCCTATATGAAAAACATAAGAAAGAAATGTTGACAGTAGAGATAATATTGTTAGTATGTGGTTTTATGAAGATTGTAGAAGCTATGGGTTAAACAATGATAATTTCTCAATCTCTATACAACCCAATATTGATAATAATCATATATATATTAGTGACTAGCTTCAAGATATAATTCCTTGAGTTTTAGTAAGAAGCCATGACAAGTGGAGTTCAACTATGTTAAGAGTTAGACAGTTATCCATTGCAAATGATAGAAGATGATCACATAATATTGTGAATAGACTGAAGTTAAACATATACACTGTTGGATGCTGTCTCAGTGATCTAGTGGTCAAGTGTTCTATTCTCTGAGGCGAGGTCATGAAAGCACACTTCCGAATAGTCCCTTGCTGGGACGAAACAGCTATCATGATTTTCATAGACGGTCTAGATAGGACCATTTCATGACTTAAACTACGAAATATTATTGGTTTAGCTTCCAAAAAAAAGCTGAATATTCATCAGTTATCAGAGTAAAGTATGGGTTAAGTCGCTGTAAATCTACATGAAATGCACTCCAAATAATTTGGGAGTGAAAACATGAGAAAATATATGTGACATGAAGTTAATTCTTTTATCGATAGCTTTTATACCACAAAATTAGAAAATATCTTTTAAGTATCAAATACAAAAAGTAAAATACTTATTCACAGTTGAGTAAATTAATATTTGATTACAACGGTGGAATTTATTCAAACAATGTTGTGGAAGATAAAGTAAAGCTGTCTAATAAAACTATAGTATAAAATAGATGTGTGTTCGGATTCATAAATCAACGGAAATTTCGTACGTATATACCTACTAGAATAGCAATGTCCTAAAAGTACCTCCACACTAACCTGTTATTTAGAAGTGAGTATCATATTCTTCAGTTGGAAAAGTTTAAAACAACTCTCATTAAGATCTATCATACTGATGAGGTTATCATAAATGTACACACGAGGTAGTTGATTCATTAAAAACACAAATGGCTTGCATATAAGTGAGTCACTTCCCATTAGAATAACTCATTTATTTGTGGGTGAGCAAACATCTGTACATAGGCAGGAGTAGTCATGATATGCTCGTGAGGTTGGACTATCGTTTAAATGGTTACAAAGATAAATAAATTTCACCGGAACAGTCAAAGAAATCCATCGTGTCATTGAATGAGAATTAATGACCTCAGAGAAGAAAAGTTCCTTTCCAAATTTACAAAAGTTGTACAATCGTGTTTGTATTTACACATATAATAGTTTACTGCAAGTTGGCTGATTTTGTCATAAATCATATTTTAGTATGATGCGAACTTATCAATAAGTAATCTATTATCTGAAACAAAGTTACAAATGTTGCTAGGTGAAAATGTTACAACTCACAAAACTAACTTATCGGTTCAATTATATTCTCTATGTCTATGTCCCATAGAATAATAAAGAACAAATCTCTGATCAATACAAACTGTCATGGTGCTCCATAGATGACACAGGGGTGTTTTTAAACAAAACAAGAACAACAAGATTTCTCTATGTTATATCTTGAGCTCTTGATTTTTACTATGCCGCGTACTACTAGACAGCTTGAACGATAGAACCCGCAACTTCGCAAGATAGAAGATAGAAGACTAGTAAGTAGGAAGTTTATTCCCCAAAACAGTGTCAAAATATAGTACAGAAATCTCATGTATTTATAGTTTTTGACTGGGAGTAAATCATTATTTCAGACAACCAATAAGCACATAGGGGTCATTCTTATCCATCCAATGGGGAAGCTACACGTCGACATTCTAGAATATTCCCCCCAGCAGTGATTGGATGGAATGTCTGTGGCTCTTTCTGAGCTTCTTAAGGATTCCTAGAGTTTACCAGCGAGCCGTCCTTACACTCAAATTAAAAGAATTTATTATATTTTGAGACTGTTCATCAGACTAAAGTTAAAAACAACGGTTAAACTTTTGTTTAAAAAAGAATTGTAAGCAAATATGTTCACTAAACGCCTAGCGAAGAGTAGACATAAGGTAGATATCACAAAACGTCCAAAATAATCAACAAGCAAATTAATCCATTTTTATTTCCACTTTATAAATACCATTCCTATGATGAGCTTTCAACCTGATTTTGTACACAAAGAGAAAGTGTGGTAAATCTGTCATTTACACGGTAGAATAATTATAGTTGTATAAGGTTGTCTATTGCATAATCTTTTCGTTCTATTTTGTAATCTAGACATTCCATTGATGTTAATTTTAATTCCATATGAGGTATGTTGTGCTAATTACTAATTTATCAAAGTTTTTCATATTGTCTCTTGATTAACATTTACGGTATCACCTTCCAAAATGACTTCAGTATTAATAAATGAATCCTTAAGACCTTCACGCACGAACGCTTAACCTTGAGACAATTAGGTTGTTCCCCAATTACGTGGTCATGGGTGCGCACTGCTGAAGAGTTCCTTACTAGTTTACAATCGCGATTTAATCAAAATCAGTCAGTGATTTAATTTATGGAAATTTGACTATTTCCACAATATCTTTACGCTAAAATATATACTCATGTTTCATAAATATTATGTTAAATATTTTGGGCAGCATCATCGATGAACACGGTGGTTTTGATGCAGATGTGAAGGCGAGGATCGGAAAAGCAAGAGCAGCATTTTTACAACTGAAAAACATCTGGAACTCAAAACAATTGTCAACCAACACCAACATCACAATTTTCAATATAAATGTCAAGAAAGTTCTATTGTATGGGTGAAAACCTGGAGAACTACGAAAGCCATCATCCAGAAAATACAGGTGTTTATCGACAGTTGTCTACGCAAAATACTTCGGATCCGTCAACAAAACACTATCAGCAACAACCTACTGTGGGAGAGAACAAACCAGATTCCAGCGGAGGAATAAATCAGGAAGAAGAGATGGAAGTGGATAGGACACACACCCAACTGAGTTACAAGACAAGCCCTCAAGTGGAATCCTGAAGGTCAAAGGAGAAGAGGCAGACCAAAGAACACATTACGATGAGAAATGGAGACAGACATGAGAAGAATGAACAAAAGTTGGATAGAACTAGAAAAGAAGGCTCAGGACAGAGTGGGTTGGATAATGCAGGTCGGCGGCCTATGCTTCATTGGGAGTAACAGGCGTAAGTAAATAAATTTTAAATATTTCGTATCTTGGCCCTACTTTTTGTATATTTACCCGGCATTTTAAAATCAATGTCTCCGACTAAGTTATATAGAACTTTACTCATATGAACATTACTAATTGTCACTTCAAGCTGACTGCATCTAGTTATTCTTGGTTTGTTTTGAATTTATTAAGGGATTTAATTGTGAAGAGATATTTTTTAACTAATCATATTATTTACAATGTCACCATAAATTCGATATTTTGTCTTCTATTCCATTGAAAGATGAAAATGATTTTTCATTTACTTATTTTTTGTCCAAACGTTTTGTTATACACTTAATCTTTTATTATCTGGATAAAAGTAAGGAACTTGAATGGGATATGAAGTTTTCAGTAAGAAGATACAATTTACACTCCAAACTTCACTATTAAATCAGTTGTAAATACAAGTCCATCTTACGGAAGGTCAGTTTCTGTCCGGATAGTTCAGTGGTAACGTCTCTGACTATGAAGTCGGGTGACGCGGGATTGAATCCATAAGGGAGCATCAGTTTCCTCAAGATTACAGGTACACAATACTGATGATTGTCAAATAGCACGAAACTTAGGTCCGGGATTTCCTATCGAATACCTCCAACCACCATCTCTTTTCAACACAGTGCACTCAATGTCGAGTCACCTAGACTAGTGGTCACATTGCAACTTGGTCGACAGAATTCGATCTGAACTAAGAAGGACCTGACATGACACTGATCACTACCCAGTGATCAATCAGTTGCCAAAACCAACGTTTGAAAATATTTACTTATCAACAGAATTGAAATTTTTAGAATAAACATGGTGTTTTATTAAAAGATGTGGGTAATGTTGATTGATTAAGTGAAAAAGTCAAAATTATAGTATTTAATGTTAAATAATATAGTTAGATACGGGTGAATGAGTGAGAAAGGTTTATGTATTGACTATTTGATTTATGATATTTTTGTACCGTTTTATGTACTTGTTATTCGGTTTTAATACTACAAATGATCTAGTTATGCACAAACTGTGATTTATCACTTATAGTTCAGTGTTCTTGAAAATGATAAATATTATCATGTTATTTTTGAGTTATACATGGTAAAGTAATTCAGATGGCTTTCTTCGTGGTCCGATTTGTCAAGCTTGGCATAAGTTGTGCGGGGGTAATCAACGTCAACATACTTAGTGGACATAACAGGTAAGGTGAAAGTTATTTGTATTTTTGGCGTAATCAGAGTAATCATTAGTGAAATCCATAAATCATTGACTCCAGTAAATGCATAGCATCTACCTATTAGACTAAAGAATGTCGCTAAAGTGTGTCAAGTCAGTGATGATGTGTTCGATTTTCCAGGAGTAAATATTGTACGAGTTTCAAGGTGAAACTAATGAAATACAGTATAATTTAACTGTAAATCCGTGAAGTGCTTTGAGGTGAATGACCGGTGCTTCTGAAACTATTGAATTTAAAAATGAATGTTGCTTAATTTATTTCGATGTTGAAGCTTCATATTCATATTGAGTAATTCACTGGTCCTTTATAAAATACGCATACCGAACTCAGCTATATGTGTGTCCGAGTTCCACTTTTACAGAAGTTTTGCCATATGAATTGTCATTGGTATCACTATTTTCGGATTCTGTTAGCGTAAACTAAGATAGTTATTTGAAAAAAAGTCATCCTTGTTTTCTTGAACTTCTTATCATTCCTCATAATTAAATATTTAATTTTTAAGACTCCAAAGCATGTCTTTGTTATAAACGTAAGTATACCGTCGCCAATTGTTATAAACGTAGAGAGAGAGAGAGGATGCTGGTTATAACTTTAGGGGTTTCTGGTTATAACAGTCCTTTTACTTCTTACACGTATGTGGGACGTTAATTTATCTTAGACGAATATCTACACTAGATTCCCACCCAGTGTCTATTCTACAGGACTTCAACACAACTCAGATCAAGAACACGAGATTAGCCTGACTATAACGTCAATATATTTCACACCAAATCCGACACAAAGAACAGTCAATCAATAAGTATCCAACATCAAGGAACAGTCAATACATAATAAGGATAGGGGAATATATATAACACATATAACACCTGTCATCCCCTCTAATGTCTGACTCATCGAGACAACCAATCATTATCATTCTCGCCCACACATCAGTCTTTTACAAGTAAAATACTTGGTTATGCTGTAACTCATAAGAATTACATAATACATTTTATAGACAATTATTATACATACTAACCGTAATAATACTACTCTAATCTGTTGACGACGAGGAATCACAGTATTACGAGTCTGACAAGTTTCTGTGACCTAATACATGTTTTAATGACCTATTATATGAGATGTAAGTTACATATGGTGTATGATTAAGTCAAGTTATGAAGATCAATTGATTTTTCCACATTACATATTGTAAAATAATAAAATCATTTTCCTGATTTGTTATTTGATCAGTCAATATATCCTGAATATTTATGTGTTATCGCTTATACATTTAAATGATACTTTTGAGTTTATGTTTTGCAGGATCTAGCATTTTCGAATATCATAAGGAGATAATAATTCTAAGTTGATCAGTTTGGTTGAGGAATGGAAATGTATCATCTACAATATTCAAATGTATAAAACAATCGAGACTTCGACATAATGATGGAAACCTTATTCGCTGAGAAAAAACAAACAAATAGTTCAGTAGATTTTAATTATGATTATTTATGAATAAATTATTATTAATATGAAAATGTGTACTATTTGAAAATTAGAATTTGCGTTTGTTGGTCTGTAGGTGAACATATCCAAAAAAGTAGTATCTAGACTTTGGAGTAACGACAATGAATAATTTTCAAATAACTTCTAAAAGGATATACTATTACAAAATCTTCACGTAGACCGTGTAAGATTTCATCAAATGAATTAACCAATAACTTTTTCAGTTGAGTGGGTTAATTAACAACAACATAATGCATTAATCATTTAATTTAATTATTAACAAACGTGGTAATACTGGATAAAATTAACTTTTTAAAAAATATATAAACTACTACAGAAATAGAAAGTAGTTAAAAATAAATATTAGAAATAAAATAAATCTAATATGCATGGCCGAAATTCTAACAAGTAGAGCTGCGCGAAACGATGTATATTGTGTAATATGATATGAAAAGATGATAATTTTGTTAGGCTATCTGAAACTATAATAGATATGTAATTATGAGATCATTACTTCTTCATGGTGTGTTAGACTGATATTGTTTGGAATATGTATTTCAGTAAAATCGGGTACAGTTTCACTGATAAAACTAGAACTATTAGTTCCATCATCTGGCAATGTATTATCTAACTCACACACATTTCTTCCTGTATCATTCTCATTTCTGCCTTCATTCATGTTGCTTTCACCTTCATCATCTTCATCTTCGTCGTCATCGTCCTCTTCACTAGCGTACAAACCTAATTCTTTCAGTTCTTTAACTGTTATACATTGTGGTGAATCAGCATAGTAGTCATTTTCACCACCTTCAGGTATAGCTAATAATACGGTGGCTGATAATGGAAATTTTTCGTATTTCTGATCACTATTATAATAGTAATAATATTGATAATCGGAATCCTTTTCAAATAATGATGTAGGTCTAGAATGATTATTTAATGTATGCTGTGCCAGTTGATTAGGGCATGAAGTTGATTTGGCTAAAAAAAGAGAAGAAACAGCATTAATCAATAGTACTATTATCATGTGCAAGAAATAGTCTTATAAACAGAAAAATGTGATATAATAAAAGAAAAACTATCAGTGTAGCTGTCTGTTAGAACTGACTTAATGGATGAAATTAATAAAAATAAGAATTTTCATAGTTGAAAGAGTGAGTCAATTGAAGTTAGACCACCAGGGAAAACTTGGAAGAACTGGACAGCCGTTTTGTGAGATAGAAACTCATTGAAGAAAATTGGTGAACGGTTGCTCAAACATTGTGGATTGCTTGGAGTTAGACATAAACACCATGGGATGCTGGCTCAGTGGTCTACCTGTTAAGTGCTCACGCGCGAGACTGGAAGGCCCTGAGTTCGAATCTCGCGAGGCGAGGTCGTGGATGTACACTGCCGAGGAGTCCCACAATAGGACGAAACGGACGTCCAGGGCTTCCAGGTTTTCCATGGTGGTCTAGCTTCAATTGACTAACGCTTTCAACTATGAAAATACTAAATCTCCACAAAAACCCCTTCTGATAAAATAATAATGTGAAAGAATGAAAATGAAATGAAAAATAAAGAGGTACAAACAATTCATTTATAAAAAAATTATATATTTACCATGAAAATCATTTTTAAAGACAAACTGAAAAATCATGAAAAGTCGTGGATCATTCGATAATTCCTTCTTCTTCGTTGTTGTTGTTTAAAACTAATGATAGAAATTTAATTAATATACATTTTCTGACTTAAAGTAGTTTTCTTTATAAAACACTTTCCTTATCCAATCTTATAAATAGGTAACTGTTCCCATCCATGACATATTAAAGATGATCAGGAAAGTTTTTAGTTCGAAGAGGTGATTCCAGTGGGATGTTGTTCTCTGAGTTGGGTGATTTAATCGTAAAGCTTTCATGCTTTTTCTGAACAAAATCAAAACAATTTTAAGGTGTAATTTCGAAAGAATTGTGCACTAGAACATGGGCGAACCTAATTTGAAAAAGACAATATTCAGTAAACACAGGATTAGTGATTATATGAATTGAGTGAAGTTGGAGTGTACCTCTGCAGTTTAATAGTATGAATTTTCTTAGACTTTGGTCTTGGTCTTATATACAAGTGTTAGAACGCATTGCTTTTTTACGAGCATTGTTGAGAAGTTCTGAAGTAGGATGAAACACCTATCTTTTATTCATAGGAGGTCAATATTTTTCTAGCTGATGTAGATTATGAAGAAATATTTCACCCGCTTTCGGAAAACTTTTAAAAATGATTAATATGGACACCAACAGTTAATTATGTTACTGACTGTTGATGTGAGTCACGTTGGTATAACGGTGCGATAACAACCATCAACAGTTGAAGTTTTTAGGTGTTAGAGTTTAAATAACTATCTCACTAAGTGCTATTTGTCGAAGAAAACATCACAAAACATGTAGAAACTAAATTGGTAAGGGATACTTGTTGATTGTTATTGAGAAAAAACGCAATATCATCAACTTCAAGTTATGAAGATAACAAAAATTCCAACTGGTATAACATTCATAAAGAATTAATTAATGTGATATTAATCAATTATGATTTCAAAAACAAACATATGGTAAAGTTAAGGAATTACTTAGTAGAGTCTCGGTTTTCCCTTCAGAAGAACATTCTTCATTAGATTGAAGAAACAATTCGCCATTAGTTTTTTCATTTGATACAATAACAGGATTTTCAGGAATATTCGTAGTAATAGTAGCATTAGTAGTATTAGTATTAACTACTGTTGTTTGCGGTGGTAATAGTGTTTTTGTTGATATTCCCGTTACTATTGGCGATGACAGTATTTCCGGTGTCACTGATTGATTCACACTTACAGATGACTTCATTGTGACTTTCTTAACAAAATCTTCAGTTGAAACAAATTTAACCTTTAAAAAATAGTATATGTATGTGGTTAGTAAACTTAATTATCACTTAATCATGCGGAAAAAAAGAAAACAGTGAAATTCACAAAGGTGAGTACATTCTGTGCTTTTTGTTTTTATGTTAGATAAGACGTTAAAACAGTGACGACATTGACGTAATTTTCTTTTGTTATAAAAACTAACTGTGGGATAAAGTACTCTAAGCTAGGTATATTTCAATTCATACGCTTTTATATATACTCTAAATAAAGTGTGGTTACAGTTAACTTAAATGTTAAAAGAACTCAGTGATAACACTATATTACAAATTGATTGTAATATAAATTGTGAATGACTGCATTCTGACAAGCTAATTCAAATGTAACACCATTTTAGGGAGATCCGAGGGTAATGAGTTCAATCATTCATCGATAGGGGTACTTTGGATACTAACCGCTAAAAAATCCCAAACTATAAAGAAACAGTTATTCAATGTTCCTTGATTTTAATATTTCATTAGATGAAGTTATTTTATGTTAAAGCGCAATCTCTAAACATTCAGCAGCATTCAGAAAGTGCCTATTAGAACTCAGTGGCCGTGTGGATAACGCGATGGCGTTTGGAGCGAAAGGTATTCTGTTCGAGTCCCAGGGTGAACATCAACTCTGAGATGCAGGTACATCCAGCTGACGAGCCCCAAATAGGGCGAAACGCACGTTCTGGATTCCACTGCTAGCCACTATCCATCTTTGTTTACAATGCTTGTGAATTAAGGTATATCGAGGCAATACGCACAGTATTCACATATGCCAATTAGAGACTGACCAGTTGCAGTCCTAGCACATCGATGGGAAGATTCAAACAAACAATACTAAATGAATTTAAATCTCTAAATATTCAGTAAGATTTATAAGTTAGGTGGTCAATGGTTCCGATTCGAGTGAGGTCATAATTGGATTTCATGGATAGTTTTTAGAGGAAAATATCATAAATGTCAGCTTTTATAGTCAATGATACGTAAATTTAGCACTGTCTTCTAAATACTTAAGAAATTCTCAGTCATTCTTTATAGCTATTCAGAGCAAAATATTTTCATAGCATCTACAAGCTTCTTTTACTTTTGGCGGTCTAAAGCCTTAAAAGTAGGTTTCATTTCTTGTTTGTATTCATCTATATTTCTCACAAGGAATTGTTCATCTTCTCTAATTTAACTCTGACTATTTAATATCGAACCAAAATAAAAAATCTGAACTCTTTCTCAGATTTTTTTAGTTTATAAATAAGTCTGTTAGCTGTCTTTATTTATATTACTGCTCCTATTTGTTATGGATCGCCTAGAGACAGTATGAATTTCATTCAGGATGAAAATAACGAATAAATTGCTGTAAAGCACTGTATCCAATGACACACAATTATGTCATTCATTCTATCACTCATAACTTTCCGTTCAGTCATACAAATATATAACGTCCCGTTTCTCATGTCAGTCAGTTTTCGATCGCGTGAAATAAATCTAGACCACTCCACATCCTTAATTATGCAGTCAGTAACGTACTCTCATGGTTCATTGCTTAACAATTACTGATAAAGAAACAAGATACCATTGTAGCCTAGCCAACTACATTCGCCTTCCTTAAAGATTTGGGGTATATACATAATTTTATTACTCGTACAAAATTACTGTCATCAAAGTAAAACTATACATAAATTGTGGTTACCGTTTCACTGAATGTAACTTGTTTAATTCCATTTTTGTGCTTATGATTATCTTCAGGAGACTTAACCACATCATTTTCATATTTCTGTTCACGATTTTTCCTGTTCAAATATAATCAAAACATTCTGATGATAAACAGTAATTAAATATCAGAACTATTTAAGTAAAAATATAATTATACGTCGAGTAAGATTCCGCATACTGCTGTTTTCTATGATCAAGCTTCATTACAGCAGCGATATTGGGCAACACTGAAATGATCCTGGAACGTATAGTCTTTTTATTGGCTAGTGAGTACTATAGACTGCCAAAATCAAATACTAGTCTCTAAAATATGACAAAAACTCCACTGTTGTGGTGCTTCTATGTAGTTTATAGGTTTTTTCAAGGTTTATAATCTTTTTTCTTTAATCTAGATGAGACCACTTAATCTACAATTGCACTCAGTAATGTAGGAAAGTATCAGCATTCTTCTAGGTCCTTCATCAAATTATAGATACCCTTATGAGAGATTTCTCATAGTTTTGACAACATTTGTTTGAAGATTTTTTTAAAAAGTCGATTAACTAATGTTATGAGACCATACACTGAGTATCACATAACCGAAAATTCCAAAATTATCAAGCATTTATGCCACAAAAATGTGTAGATTACTCTGCCTACCACTAATGGTGTGAATTAGTTGAAACTGTAGTCTGAACGAAGAAAAAGCAACTTCCCTTTATTGGATCATGTTATATATGTAATCTGAATCAGAAGCAGTAAACCTTCCACATAATATCCTATTCTCACCATATCATTCATTATCTCCACTCAATAAACTACTGTTTGACCTATAAGAAGTTCGTCATCCCCATTCTTTTGGTTTTTACTTGAGTTGTAAATCCAGGGGAATGAAATGATAGTTTCCATCATTCTCAATGACAGCACCTTCCTTGATCTATTAGAAAAATAATTTTTACTTTAAACGTAATGTTTTACTTATAAGTAGACAGTAGTTCTTGGATAAAATTATAATCCAAATGCCAGCTGATTAGCAACAAGAATTTACGCTTAGTTTAACAGGTCACAGGGTTTTTTATGGAGATTTTTAGTAATTTTCATATATAGTTGAAATCATGAGCCAATTGAAGCTAGACCACCATGGAAAACCTGGAAGCACTGGAAGGCCGTTTCGTCCTATTGTGGGACTCCTCGGCAGTGCACATCCACGATCCCGCCTCACGAGATTCGACGAAACGACCGTCCAGTGCTTCCAGATTTCCACGGTGGTCTAGCTTCAATCGACTCATGATTTTAACTATATATATAAAAGTTCACCTATATATTTACATTTTGGATAACTGGTAAAATAAAGATGGGAAAGTTTATGATACTGATGGTAATGAATAAATTTAAACAATCAATGATTTCTTTTAGCCATTTTGAAAATTAAATTAGCTTTCTTCTTTGAGTAGTATCAATGTAATAACTGTTTTTCTCATTTATTTAGCTAAAAGTTTAAATTCAACCTAAAGGGATCAATGTTCCCCAGGGAAACGAAACGAATTTCTATTACTCGCAAATCAATGAATATATTATATAAAAAGAAATAATAAAATCAACATTTCTTTTCCCAAAATCTTTGATAGAAGTAGTTATTGCTTTAAGATGGCTTATGTTTGTTGGTAAAAGAGTAATTTCTCACTCAATCAACACCACTGAGACTTTCTCTGTTGGTTAAATTAAAGAGTGACTATAGTTTATAAATCTTGACTAATTACCGAGTAATCATTAATAGATAGCATGTTGATACCGGCTTTTATGTAAAAAACAGTCCACGTTAATTACAGATTGGTAACTACGTTTATACTACTTAGATGCATCGATGTTTTTACAGAATAAGTAAGATAAACAGAGTGATAATCTACTCACACAACTGAGCGCCGAATTTCAATTAAATAGATCACATAAGACATAACAAATGGTTAACTAACTGAATACCAATATATATTAGGAATTTCAGCTGATTCGATGTAAACAGAAAAGTCAGTCGGAGTGGTTTCGCTCTTTGGGGTTATCTGAGATAGACGGTCTAGTTGAGAAATTTTCATCAACTTTCTGAAAAATATCATTAGCCACTACTTGAAGTAGAATTCTAATTATGAGTTACTTATCACTTAACATTTAAATGATGAGGGGTTTTATTATATTTAACCTCAGCCCATTGTATAAAAAATGCATTTACTTCATTGGTTGAGCGTAACACCCTTTCAAATATAAAATAAGTTAGGTGTTCAGGATAAGACTGATTTCGGAAGTATTCGTGTCAGCATAAAATCTCTCCGTTCGATATTTGTTACATTGGACAGTTTGTTAGGATGTTAATGAGTTTTATTGATCAAAATTACTCATTGTTAATTGACCAATTTAAGAATGAGATATAATGAAATGAGTATGATCTAAAATGTTTGTAGGTAACAGACACGAAGGTTGATAACTAGGTTTGTGTTTATCACCACTCATGCCCAAAAAATATTTTCTGACTTGAGAAGGCTTTTACTTCAGTATCATGATAAGGAAATGCAAAGCGCCGACCATAACTTATCATTGAAAAGCACATATCACTAAACCACAAGTACACGATGCCAATTTAGGAAGAAATTCTAACGCGAGCGAGCGAATACAGAGGCGATTTAATAGTCGAATGAATTAATGAGATTTAAGTACATATACATGGGAATGTGAATGATTGATCGAGCGTTTTAAGCAACTGACAATTAAGATAGGAGAGAAGGATATACGCTAGGCTGTAACATGTGATCAAGAATACATGTTTATGGAGACATAATAATAATACCAAGATATATAAGTTGTTACTGTTCGGAGAGTACTGTGTGTTGAATAACCTAATTGAAGTACTTAACAAAACTAAATGTAAACAAGCCTAAGTGTAGGAGACGTGACGTAAGTTCAACTGCGATTACGAATCAGTGAAGTGTCAACCAGAAGATCTACTAGCTCACCCATGAAACACCACTAATTTGAACAAGTTTAAAATTAATACTATGAAACAAATACTATGTGAATAAATATAATTTACTAACCTTAAAATTGGATTGGTTGTTGAACGTACTCCGTTTGTATAAATTGTACGTTTTAAAGGATTTAAGCCTGAGGTGAATGTTTTTGACCGAGTTATTTTCGACTGAGAATAAGTCACATCTGTACCATAAAATTGAGTGAATTTATAAACAAAAAGTAAGCAGAAAACATATGAGAAATTTTAAACATATGGTTTAATTTTATTTAATTCTTCGGTCAGCACTAGAATTCGGTTACAAATTCAAATGGAATGGCTATCCCAATGATTTCTTGTTTTCGGTGTCTCTATAGCTAATACTAGTTCCTAAATATAAACATTTTCCACCTATCCCAAATTCTCCACAAACCACCTATTCGAAATAGATCTTACATAATCTCAAATGTAAGTCTTATCAGCTGTTGAATAAATGTCTTTCTTATTCAGCCCGAAATAGGAACTACTAAGACTCCTTGATTAAAATAAAAGTGTCAAAATTAAGTTGAGCTGGGATGGATGGGAATTATTTTTCACCATCTCAAAAACTTTCGTAGCTTCTAAACTTGTATTCTTGACAGCGTTTAAGCAACCAACAGACTACAAGTTTCTGTCTACACATTTTCATTCTCAGAAAAAACTGTATTTTAATTTTTAAGTGAGTTTTTTTGTAGCGTTGTAACCTTGAATACTGAGTTTTGAAAATACTTGCCTTGATTTTTGTTTTATTATCAGTCAGTTTAATTAGCTAGTCCAAAGGGAAATAGTAGTTTAAATGAATTCTCATTTCCTGAATAGTAATAATTAAGAAGTAATAGAAATATGACGGAAACTCAAAAATTTGAATGTGAATCTCATAGAGCTGAAATGAAACAGATTTAAATAGACTGAGTAACGTTAGCTAACAAGAGGACCCAGTCAGGAACAAATTGCTTATTATTCACTGTTTCTGCAAAATTTCTGTGTTTAACGAAAGTTTCACTAATTTCGGATTATGAACAATGTTAATCATAGTATTTAAACATTGCATAAGATTTTTTCTACTACATACATTGAGGATTGTATAATGTCATAACATTAGGTGTAATTTATATGTCAAAGCATTAAAATGCCCTTGGTCTACTATTCAATTCATGTGGATGTTTTGTATAAACTATGATTAATTCTGGCTATATGATGAATAACAAAACGCTTTGTTTCATGTCACAAACCTAGCTGAGTTAGATATCTTTTGAGAGATTAAGCGTTTGTACGCTAGACCGAAGGTCTTAGGTTGGTGAATGCTTACCCCCAAAGGAGTCCCCTACAAGAATGAACCAGCAATCCAGTGTTTCCTAGTTTTTAGTAGGTGTCTAACTTAGGTCGGTTCATGATATCAATAACATTCAATAATCTTCACAAACGTTTACATGAACAAAAAACGTTGAAATATTATTCCTTACTACAAAACATTAGTTTAATTCAAATATTTCAAACAAATTTACCATGTTCACTACTTCCTTTCTTATTAATTGAACAATTCATTCCAACATATCGTGTTAATTGTTGTATAAGGGATTTTGTAATTGTAATAGCTTCATTATTTAACTTTTGTTCAGTTTCAATTTGATGATGAACTAATTGTGTTTCATTGACAGAATCATTTGCTTTTTTTAAATCTAATGTTACTGAGTAGAAAAATACTTTGACATAATTCTTATGATGTTCTATTATGTTGGACAGTTCTATTTCATAAGGGATCCATGTAAACAATACACTGTAAGATGAGCTATGGTTAGCTAAATTAATGAAAAAAAAGGGAAAAATCATAAGAATGATTATTTCACTTGCATTTATCTTTAAGGTATCTTTCCGGTTGATAGATAACAAAATAAACGAAAATATATGATCATTCATTTGTACACATCAAGACCTAAAGTTAGCTAGAGAATAAAGGCAAATGTTCCACAAATTATTGTTTTACATTTCAATGTTTTACTAATATGTTTTAACAGCAGAATATTCTAGTTGATTAGCTTCTTATGAAATAGTAAGTTCAGTGAAATTCAAACAATCGAGTGTGAAGAAATGAAGAAATTTATTCCAAACCTTATATTCTACTTAATATAAATTGACGAGTAGTATAATAAGGTCAAAAGTTTTGATAATTTATAGCTTATTTGTTGACTAGTATTAGTTATAAAGTAAAATTAGGTAATGATTTGTAATTTTAAATAGGAACATTACATCATCCGACCACAAATCAATAAATTTGCAAATAGTGAATTCGTTAAAATGTTCATTGTTTTTACCAGGTTGTTGCCATTAAAACATTGGTTACAAATCAAATTTCTCTTGCCTGCGGCTGGCCACATAACAGGCCGCCCTTAAGTCCTGAAAATAGTTGACGGAGTGGTCGGTTTCTTATTGAATTCACGGGTTACCGTTCGCAGTATACGAAGTAAGCCGGTTTGCATATGTCTGACCAGCTATCATCAACTGTCGGTATAACTGATCACGATTCCTAGACTGATAGTAGTTTGCAACTTTCTAAAAGTGAACAGACATTTACTAACGTCATTTTGACGCAGTTTATAGGACTTCGATTTACATAAATGTAAGTTATAAATCTAAAAGGACATACACCTTACAAGTAATCAAACAATTGCATTTTCTCTCGAGTTACTGACTTACCTACTCCTGTTACACCTCATGAAGGAGCATAGACTAACCACCAACATTCTCTGTCCTGAGCAATCCTTTCCAGTTGTTTCCCGTTTCTACTAATTCTTTTTATGTCTGCTTCCAATTCCCGGCACAATGTTTTCTTGGTATTCCTCCTTACCTTCCACTTTCACGATTCCATGTTAGAGCTTGCCATGTGATGCAGTTTTATGATTTCCTCAGTTTATATCCTATCCACCTCCATCGTCAATTCGTCATTTCTTCTCCATCGGTAAACTGGTATGTTCTCTCCCACAGTAGGTTGTTGCTGATGGTATCCGGTCAACGGAGATTGAGTAGATAAATAAATACTTGTACATTTTGATGATGGCTGTAGTAGTTCTTCAAGTTTCAGCTCCATACAATAGGACTGTCTTGACATTCTCATTGAAGTTTCTGACTTTGATGTTGGTTTACAGGTGTTTTGAATCCCATATGCTGTTCAACCGTAGGAATGCTCCCGTTGCTACTCTTTCCAATCCGTGCTTTCACATCAGCATCAGACCCTCCTTGTTTATCGATGATGCTACCTGAAGTTTGTGCTGGTGATGTCGTTCAGAATAATTATGAAAGCTCCACGACCAAATCATCCAGCTCAAAGAACAAAACTTCATTAAAACCACCCACCTGAGTTTTAAATCTTCCCTGTCATCTCAATACCATTGTATTCCGTGCTTCCCTTGAGATGTGGAGGTCTTCATAATCTATTTGATCATCAGAAGAAAGAGAAAGGGTGAGAGTAAACAACCTTGTCTGACACCGGTCCACACTTGGAATGAATCTGTGAGCTGTCATCTATGCACGACGTTTCAGTGTAGTCCATAGTATGAATTCCAAATAATGTTGACGATTTTCTCTAGTGGAGTGTTACGTCTGGCCGATTGTGAACGCTATATTCGCTTCCCTAAGCTAGTTCCGTACCCCCGAGCTAGAACTACTCCGCGACTTGAAGACCAGAGAAAAGGTACAAGGTGGATGGGAAGCACTTTACTACAGGGTTCATTTATGTACAGAAAATACAGGGATTTTATAGTAATTTAAGAGACCTTGAGTTTTACTGAAAGTTCTAGAATACTGCTAAACATAGTAGCAGCGTTTTAATCAGCCAATCAGGATCTCGTTATTTTAGTAACATAACTTCACACAACTTCTAATTTATCGCTGATTGGTTGGGGCTCTTTATGAGCCTCTGGAGGCTCTGTTAGAATTCTCCGGAAGCCGACTCAACATGGAGCGAGCGTAGTGTCGAAGATTCATCTTTCCCTCTAGTGAATAAGAGCTATTCGTGTTTCCCCTTTATAATTCATAGGTGTCCTCAAAATTGAACTAAGACTGTGTTTGAATGAAAAAGGTGAGCTACAAGATAACTTAGTTGAAATTATAGATAGACGTTTATTTCTCTTAAACAAAACCAATTAAAAGTTTGAATTTTTCACTCAGATAATACATGACATTCAAAGTAAACAGACCTTCTATGAGAGTATCTTGGACAATTTGTAAAACTAACAAATCTCATCACCATGATAACTTACCAACATATCCTGTTGGAATAGGTAATATCTTCAATTGTCCTACTCCAAATTTTTCATATAATAATAAACTTCGTTTTAGAAATTCACTATTATATTTTGTTTTTTGTATTGATTGGCTATTATTGTATAAAGTAAGGTATAGTTTTTCACTTGCAAATGAATTCATTGATTGTGTATATTGAAATCTTGTCCAAAATTTATTTCCATTACATACTTGTAAAATAGTCAAGCCTAGTTTTAATGCAATAGGTAACCAAATTATTTCTTTAATTTCATCATTTTTAAGCAATGAAGATTTTATTGATTTATGTTGAATTGAATTGAATTTTACATGTTTAAATTGACCTATCATTGGTAGAATTAAACATGTACACTTTTCAAATATGAATTTTTTGTTAGCAATTTCATTGAACAGATTATTTAATGATAATTGAACAGTTGAACTCCATTGTAATACAATGATGACATCAATTCTGATTTCATTGAAGAAGAAAAACACGCATGAATGAATAAAGTTGAAGGACTTAAAAACAAAAACAATTTGAATTATAAAATTTCTACAGATTAATAAGATCATATTGTAAAAACCACTATGTAGATTATAAACAGAGATAGATGTTGGTTAGCAGTAGAATCCAGAACTCGTCAGCTGGATGTCCCTGCATCTCAGAGTTGATGATCACGCTAGGTCTCGAACTCAGTACCGTTTTCTTCAAATGCTATCGCATTATCCACTTGGCTACTAAGTTCAGATATCCACTAGCTTGTGTAATGGGGTGAAGTTTAATTCATTTTTGTATTGGTTGTTTGAATCTTCCCACCGATGTCTAGGACTACAAGTATGCTTATAATGTTTGTGACTAAAGGCAATATCGAGGCAATCTGGACAGGATGTACATATGCCAATAAGAGATTGATCAGTTGCAGTCCTAAACATCAATGGGAAGATTCAATCAACCAATACAAAAATGAATTATACTATGTATATTGTTGACAGTTTTCGATTATTTAGATTAAAAGTAAGTGTAAAGAAATTTTATGGTTATAGATTGATCTCAGTTAAGAAATCAATGAATCGAAGGTACTCACATGGATGTTCAATTCATGGTTAATATCATTTTCATATTAAATTAATGTTCATAATCTACACAACAAATTAATAGATTTATAGCAGTTCGAAAATTCAATGAGTAGACGAGATTTATCAGGACGCAAAACATACATACACATACAGGGAGAAGTAATCGTGATTTGCAAGTTAGGGTGACCGAATACATACCAAATTGTCTACGGTAGCAAATATACTCAAACGACCCAATAAGTGCAGATGAAAAACACCCATCTTCTTCTGTTCTCAAACACAGTTAAAATAAGTCACCAGACTGATCTTATCTCAGCCTTTATCGTTTGTATATGAGCTGCCTAGGGCGTATGAATTTTTAAACTTCCGTTTAGAGTTCAAGAATGAATGTACTTACACTAAACCTATCTAGACTGATGCTGTTCATGATATTTTCTTTTATTATATATGTTTTTCTTCTCTTCCAATCTATTTAGTTTTTACTTTTTTATGTGTAAATACTGCAATAAGTTAATATATGATCAAAGTGTTCGAAATATATTATGCTAATATGTGTCACAATGCTGATAAACTTTAATAAATTTAACTTGAACTCAGCGTTTTTTTGTCAGATGTATGCGGTAGTGCTAAACAGACGGTTAACATTATAACTTTCTTTATATTTGTTTAAAGAAAACTGTGTGACAGTAGTCCAAAATTAGACTTTAAAACGGCTGGAAATCATAGAGTTGATACAATAATTTTACATAAATGACATGAACCGGATGTGTGTGCTTTTTTGAAACATTTTGATATGGTATTATCATGAAATCACTTAGAGGATTCTAACCTATTGATCAGGTAAAGGAATTAAAATAAAGACAGAACAAATATTGATGCAGAATAATATGAATTCATTATATTTCGTGGTTTCTCATCAGCTGCTTACAACCAAATATGCATTAGAGTTTTAGCATTGGGGTAATAAATAGGATGGAACGACTGACATAAGTGAATGTAAAGGATCAGAATAACAAAAGTCATCAATGATAACTATATATATATATGGGCAAGGTAAGGTCAGAGGTTATTAGGTATTAGAATAAAGGGTGGCGAAATAGTTGAGTGGAGTTCAGAGACAGATAAAATCAAAAATGTGATTATTTTAGAGGTAGTTGAAAACAATTAGGATTACGTAATAATTGAATAATTTTTAGAGGTAGTTGAAAACAATTAGGGTAGGTTACGTAATAATTTAATAGATATTGTCAACTACCGAAATGATTCACGCGTGATGCATTAATAACACTTATGTTGTTTGAAATGGACAAAATATAAATTTGTAGGGCATATAATGCAAACTAAGCAATAAAAAAGAGAGAGATAATCCCAAGTAATAAAATAAACCGAAGCATCAGATAAAAATGCTCCTATTAAAAATCAGAAGTCCATCATAGTAGAGATGCTTGGGACCCAACAGTTCCAAAAAAGATTGACAGCATATAAACTAAGTAAATGTAGCGAATAGAAAAAAATGGACACAGTTACTGTCATCATAAGTTCTCTTATTCGTTACCATATATTATGATAATTTAATAATAGCCTGACAGAACTCTGTTAGCAGCTGATAACTTAGAATATAACAATAACCTTGTTTCTGGGTAATTTTTCAATGTTTTCTACATTAAAAATATGGTCAATTGAATCAACACTGTATGAAAAGTATTGATTTTGTTATTACATACAACAAACACCAATGCGTAATTGCAGACTTATGTTGAAAAACCCTTAGGAAAAGAAATACTTTGGTACATCTAATTTTTCAAAATTAGATTTGATAACCATTGTATTTGATACTGATCAATGAAGTTTAGAGAAAAATCAAAGCGTAACAGATTTTAGTGTTTCTTCATCTGGCTCCACTTAAATAAGAAGACGATGTTATCGATGGGGTTATCAACGGGCTCACTACTTTAGTGGACCTTTATCTGACTTCAGTTGAATTGTATGAGTGATTGCTACCGAAAATACACATCCTGGCTACTCTCGTACATAGTCATAGACTTGAATCGCGTTAGTGAATATAGGCATAAAAATAAGTCAAATACGACAATAAAGTTTGAATACTTATTTTTCGATCAGTCATTGACTGGACAAGGAATCAAGGAAACGAGGAGCAGAAAGCGGATGAAAGAAAGCAAAGTGGGTCAGAATGACGCGCAATAGAGAAGTTGAGTAAGCCAACTCTATTTAGTCAAGCGTGACTCGATATGTATAGTCAGACAAAAATAGATTACAGATTTGTGGTGACTAGGGTAAGGGATTAACACACATGCCCATATAAAAACAATCAAGGTTTATAAGAGAATAAGTGGCAAGGTCAAAGTGTGACTTGAGAAAAAAATGAATAGATCGGTCTGTTCAGAGGCTAGAATAACCTATATGGGCTTGACATAATACCAGTCACTATAAGATTTTAGGTTTATTAATGTGACCAGATAGTGAAGACCAAAAAATGGACAAATAGAACGGTTGGAAACACTGGACGGCCGTTTCGTCCTGCTGAGGAGAAATAGAACAGTTGTTGATTGGACTTTTATTTTGTAAGTTCTGAATTATTTAGGTAGGCTTTGATGATAAATATTAAAAAATGTGAAATTTATGGTAGATATGATTTTCTGTAATTAGGATAAAAGGATATACCTCAACTTAAGTTTCATCGTTAATAGTTTATGTCAATATGTCTCTCGATTTAATACCTTACTACTACTTAATACCTTAATACCAATTTATCCTTTGGAATGACTGATTTTAATGAATAAAAAGCATAGGTAACTTTTTTTTGAATCAATGAGATCGCATGTTTTCGTTTATACACTCACATATAACTGGTTTTAAGTTCTCCTAAAAAACGTCCAATCTATTCATGATCAATAACGAAAAGTAAACTACCGAGAAAAGTGAAAGACAAAGAACTAGGCAGTTTTTTTAATTAATACTAAAATCTCAAATTAGAATAAGTTCTTGACATAGTTCAGTGGATTTTTATGATTCCTGCTATCGTTCGAACTACTTCGGTAGGTGTATAGTAATCTCATATTAATTTGAAAATGATGTAGTCGAGATTATAAAGTTACTGATAGGATAAAAACAACATAGAAATAATCGTTCCCTACTATTCAAAAAGCTACACAGTAAAAAAACATTTAGTATTGACTGATTCTTCCTCGGAAATAAAGCTACTTATTCAGTTATTTGCAATCTATATTTGTTTGTAGGTTATTTTTCCCTTTGGATTTACAAATGAAATCATCAAACTAACCAAGCACAGATTAATCAACTCACTTATCTGTATTTGCATAAATTCTATGGAGTAAAACCGGTTAAGTAGTAAAATAGAGAGGTATATTTTTCGTTATATCGTAATATTATCCAGTAGTCAATAAAGGTCTTTCCATTCATGATGGAATCTTTAATCCCCTAGTTGACTTGATCTACCTACTCAGATTCTTACAACAAAGTACTTTCGGTTTCATAACACATTTAGACATTGGATAAACAACTATTTTGTTCCCTATATAAATTTCTCAACATTATGCTATTACGAAAGTTCACAGGGTCAAATCTAACTACAAAAAACTTTTTGTGATAACATTACCAAGATGACACTTTATAAAAGCAAGATGAAAGATGCTTTGGCAGAATTTCGTAAAATTTGAAAACACCAATTAACGAATTTCAGCTTTCAAATTTTCGGAAACCTGACGTGAAATCCCAAAGTATGATGTTAATAGGAAGCATAAGTGTTGTGATATAAATTTGCACAAAAGTTACAAATTAAAGATGATTGATTTCAGGAGTAACATCAATAACTAGTAATCGGTACTATGTTGGATAGTGCGCTTATTCTGAGTGAGTTAATCTAAACCAGCCATAATGGTATATACTTGTTTGCCTCAAGTTTTCCAAATCAAAACTGTAAATTATCACCGTCTGATTGCAAACACACCAAGTTTATCTATGCCTTCTGCTGACTACTTAATTCAGTGTTTTCAATAGAAAGTCGAAAATGCTTAACTTTATTCTTTTTAAATACAATTTCGGTGAGTTTTGCTAAATTTTGACAAAAAGATTAAAAAAAGGCTTGTTATTATGTCAGTAAATTCTATCTATAAAAGAAGTAGGGACCGACTTCTCTAAATCATCAAAAATAAATTATCATTCTAAACGAAATCCATCTTGTCCATCTCATTTTGATTACAAAGAATTCATCTTCGATTTTGGTTTCAGAGATTAAACATATTCTGATTGGTATTCAATTAAGTAGTTTATAAAAAAAGTCAACTGAAGAGACAAGTGAGTGGTCATAAATTTGACTCCTTTATACCATTTGGAAATACTTTTTTTTCAAAC